TCTTGTTCCTAGTAGCGATGCCCTTAGTTCTCAGTAGCTTCTTGTTAGTAGTAGTATGGCCAGGAGCTACGAACGTAGCTTCTTGTTCCAAGTAGCGATGCCCTTAGTTCCTAGTAGTAGTATGGTCAGGAGCTACGAACGTAGTTTCTTGTTCCTAGTAGCGATGCCCTTAGTTCCTAGTAGCTTCTTGTTACTAGGTAGTATGGCCAGGAGCTACGAACGTAGCTTCTTGTTCCAAGTATCGATGCCCTTAGTTCCTAGTAGTAGTATGGCCAGGAGCTACGAATGTAGCTTCTTGTTCCTAGTAGCGATGGCCTTTGTTCCTAGTAGCTTCTTGTTACTGGATTAAATCTGGCCTTGAAGGAGGTGCTTGACATCATGAAAGCTCTTGCCAAGCTTTGGGAGCAAGGTCTTGATGTCGATTGGAACAAGCTTTGCTACGCAAGCGCATCGAAGGCTCCAACGGATCCTTTACTCCAGCATCTACCATCGCCAGGCTTCGTCCGAGCGCCGGCCTGGATTGAGATGCCCCTGGGCGTGTCCACGGAATCCAGCACTCAGTCAGCCACCCTGAGCAGTGAACTGACTGAGTCAGTCGGTCAGTCCGATGCCGGCGGGGAATCGCTTGAGACGCGGTCGTTGGTGGAATCACTTAGGGAATTCTCTTTGGACAAGAACGAGCATCCCATTTTAGCCCAGCACATGAGAAGCGGGAGGCCTTTGGTCCCAGGCTGGCTTCCATTAAGGGCAGAGCATAGTGCTTGGTCTAGAGTTGATTTGGGTTGGTTTGGAATTTGGGACACACCTCAATGAGCAGCTTTAGTTTCATTAGTTTCTAACGTTCACTTTTGTTAGTGTGGGTATCAGTGATATCACCTCTTGCGTGATTAGCTTGTGGTTGGTCGCCAGGTGCTTTGCTCCTGGACACGGTGCTGCAGGAGTCCTCGTGGCGGTGCCTGGAGGATGTGAGGTTCCAGAATCCATGCCGTGGGGACCAGTCCATCGCTTTGCGTATCTTGGAGGATGGACACTTCAACATCAAGACGGCCGATGGATCCATTCACTATACCGAGGGTCCTTTGGCCTCCATGGATTTTTCTTGTTTGCAACCTACAGTACTGTTTTTTGGTCTCTGATAGGGTTTGATATAGGGTTTGCAGCTGACTGACCAAAAGTTGTTTGACAAGAGTGGTTCGAAGCGAACGACAAAGGCTTTGGCAGAGAAACCGACAGCCCCAACCCTGACTGGTCTCATCGCCTACGCGACTTGAAAGACTGTCAGGGAAGCCGCCTTGGACAATGGTTTGGTGGGACGAAAACGTTGCCTCTTTCAAGCATCGTGAATCTCCTTGGCAAGGGTGGCTTGACCTATGGCCCTGACCTGAAGGTTGCTGGCGATCTTCGCATCAAGGACAAGGGCCCGAAGGCTTCCTGCTTGGGCTTTTGCGAGGTCACCTGCCACGCTTTGCGCTCTGGCGGCAGTGGCGGAGCCGCGATCTTGGATCAAGCGTTCCAAGTGGCTCTAGGCCTCTGCTTGCACAGGAGAAGTTCGAAGAGTCGAAAGCCGTCGGGACGTGTTTGGGATGCGCAAAAAGCTTTCTTTAGTAAAGAGCCTTCGACATAATTAGTGACATATAGGGTTGTTCCAACCATGCTCAACAAACAATGCATGATGATTGTTTTGGGAAGTGCGATGGAGTATAGCCGTGCACCTGTGAAGAAAGTCCCTTGAGGCTCGAGGTGTACGAGCCCAACTTGGCTCGTGAAGGTGCTCTTCCTTCGATGCTTGAGAAGTTGGTGGTGTTCTCTCAGGACTGGTGGCGCAACGCGGAGAAGTTGGATTTGATCGTCGAGGTAAAGCCGCATTTTTGCTCAGCGATTTGTGCCAGCTTCGCGCTCTTCGCTCCGGATGGCTCTGCAGTGGCGGAGGTGCACCATGTTTGGGGTAAGCTTTTGTCTTCGTCTGCGCAGCCGATTCACGAGCTGCTGTGGCAAATTGCACCTAGTCCCTTGCCTCATGATGATGTGGCAGATGCAACAGGAGCTGACATGTTTGCCTTCATTTCAGCCTGGGAATCATCTCCAGTCACGCAGCTTCTTGAGAAGAACCAGCTTCCAGGCCTCAGCAAAAGCAGGATGATTGGACCAGAGGAGAAGGGCAAGGCTTGCAGTGTTGCCTTGGCGGACAATAAGGAAGGGGCGTGTACCATCCTGTATGAATGGACCCAGGGCATTGATGACAAGGAGCTGGAAAGCCTCACAAGGCAATCTGTGCCCCGCGTGGATGAAGGCCTGCGCCAAGCTGTCCGTCGATTCCGAGAAGTGGTGCCTTGCCAGCGCAAGCAAAGTCGGTTTTCGGGAGGCCCGCCAGGCACTGGAATGCATTCACTCTGCATTGACATGTTCCAGTGCATTGAGCTGGCGATATGGTCCAGTAATTTTTCTGAAGGCCCAATGTGCATCGAGTACCGCCGCATGTAGTTGTTGGCGGCGTCTTCCACGAACTGCTTGCAAGCCTTCAAAGCATCAACCATGTAATTCATTCTCAAGTCCGTTCCCTGTGAGGAAACCACATGATTTGGGGGTGAAAGAAGTGGTTGTGTCAGAAGCCTTTCACTTCCGGCTTCCTCTCTTCACAACTTCACAAGCCTTTTCCGTTCTTTCAATAGATCCTTTCTTGTTCCAGAACTGTGCTTCAGAACTGTGAGGTGAAATGGGCTTTAAGCCGGAAGGGCGCGCAGATCATTGTCATCACCCGAGAGTCGCCGCAACTGGCGCCTTCGAAGCCTTCGAAGAGTTCGATGCCAGGATCAGGACTGCGACTGGGGGGGGGAGAGGGACCTGGAGAGACTGTGTTTTGTTTCTTTTTGGAAGTGGACGTTTCCAAGCAAGTCGTCCATGTCTCTGTGGTGCAGCTTTTTTCGCTTCCCCAACTTTTCTGGCTTGCTAGGCATGTTCATTGCCATGGTGAAGTGCCTGGTCAAGGAAGAGGTGCCAGCCAGGGGAATGCTTCGCGTGATTGAGATGGCAGACCTCAGCGACGCCAGTGTCCTGCAGCTGGGCCTTGAGATCCGATCTCCTCGCCAGGACTGTTCAGAGATCATGATTCAGGACAGCCAGGCTCAGGGCTTCCCTTTCTTCACTTTGTCGCCGTTGGTATATCGTTGTCTATTCGTTCGATGCGGCTTTCCACCCAGTATTTTGTCTTCTTTTGATGCTTCGCCGGAGCGTTCGCGGCTCGGATGCACCATGTGTATCGAAGCATTTCTTTCTTCAGCCAGGAGGGCAGGGCGAATCGCTTGGAATTGATTCGCCAGCCTTTGAGCTTCGACTCCTTGAGTTTAACGGCGCTCAAGAGAGATGCAGCCTACATCGTGATTGGCGGGGCTCGAAGACATGGCCTCTCCGCTTTGGTGGTCGAGACCTTGGCGCAGATGGGTGCGGGCACCGTAGTGGTGGTCGGCAGAAACAAAGAGGATGAAACGTTCTCGAACTTCCGCAAGACCTTTAGGAACACTCGGGTTTTGGCCGTGCAATGCGACATCAGTTGTGTCGGCAGCATTCCAAAAGCTCTGGAGCAAGCAGGAGTGAGGCAACCCGTCCGTGGACTCTTTCACGGAGCTGCGTCCTTTGACGGAGACAAGCTCTTCAAAGGCGTTTCGGAGGAGGCCTTTGAGGCGACGATGAAACCCAAAGTGCTCGGCAGTTTGGCTCTCCTTGCCACAGCGCAGGAGGCCAAGTGGGAGCTGGATTATGTTTGCTACCTGAGCAGTGTGGTGGTCTCTTTAGGCAATTTGGGCCAGTGCGCCTATGCAGGACGTTTTGGACTTGAGCATGCTTGATTGGGAGTCTACCCTGTGCCCTTGCAAAACCCCTGACCTTGAGTCTTGAGTTTCCGTTTATCCAGCTCAGAAGCTCGGGAAGGTCAGGAACAGATGTTTTACAAGATCTTTGTTGCCAGGAGCCAATGGTTTTCAAGCTGATCTGGGCTGTTGGCAATCTCTTTGCAGCTCCGGGACATGCCAGTACCAGGTGATCAATTTCACTGTGCTCCAAGGGGTTAAGGCCTCAGAAGACCATGAGCAGTGCTTTCTTGTTCTGATGAAGGTGTTTGCAACTTTTGGCAGCGTAACGCTGTGTGTCTGATAGCATGTTGTCAGAGTGTTTCGAGAATGTCTTATTGCAGGATCTTGTTGTCTGAAGCATTTGTTTGTATCTTCACGTTGATTGGAGAAGAGACCCTAGAAACACGTGTCGATGAGGTGGGAGTCATGCATGACAAGCCAGAGCTGGAAAGACAGCTGGAGATGACCCGTGGCTTTCCAGCCATCAACCCTGAAGCTTGGCAAAACATCAGGCACGCACTTGAAGCACATAACTAGCTCCGATTTTGCGCACCACTCTCTTAGCTCTTATAGACCTGTCTCCGTCCCCCAGCGCGGTCTTCCGAACCCCCAAAGCTTGTGAATTTTGAGGAATCTAAAGGAAGCAAGGTCTAGTATAGTTTGCTAGTGGAGCCATCGCTAGCAGGTTGGAGGCCATCGCTTTAAGAAACACATTTTGAGGAATCAATCCGCCAAATGCTGCAGACGGTCCTTTGCTCGAGTTTGCCCATCGTGACGGTGGCCACCTTTGACCGTCAAAAGCTCCCGTCTCTGCCGTTGGCGTCAAACCCCGTGGTGGCCTCCCGCTTCCACACCATCATGAACCGCTTCCAGGGAGAAGTGGCCCAGGCGCCTTCTACCACATTGACGCCGGAGGAACACCCGCAAGATGCAGTGGCGGACCCGAAGGTGGAGGCGGGTTGGGCAACAGGAAGCTTCTTAGTCATTGCAACGATAGGTGATGGAACAAACACCGTTTTCTTTGTGCGGACTCAGTGATGTTCCCCTGTTTGGAAGGCGCTTCCGCCTTCTTCGAAGCAGGAGGAGAGAAAGGATGCCGGCAAATCCGACGGAACTTCACTGCCCCGGCAGGTGTTGGCCACTTGCCTCATAGAAGTTACAGCGCCGAGTGCTGTCGAGCCTGTGTTTAGACCCCTGGTCATCTTTGTTTTTCTGGTTTGGCCAGTGGGCGCGTGAACCACTTGCCCCCATGTTTTTCCAATGTGTCAGGAGAAACTTGAGAAGATCACCGGAAAGAAACTCGAAGTTCAACGTCCCTTGGTGTTTCAGGGTGTGGACAGCCAGCTCGCCATCGAGATCCAGTCCCAGTTGAAGCCCATGGGTGTGGAGGCGCGGCGACTGGGAGTGGAGCGGGACCCTAAGAGTCATTGAGACGCCGTATAGGTGCAAAACAACAAAGAGCTTTCTGTGCTTGCACCTAAGAACGATGGCCTCCAACCTACTAGTGATTACTTGCGATGGCCTCCAAGCTCTAGCAATGGCCTCCAAACTATACTTGCGATGGCCTCCAAACCGACTCCAACCTACTAGCGATGGCCTCCAACCTACTAGCGACGGCCTCCAGCCAGCCTACTAGTGATGGCCTCCAACCTACTGGCCTGATAGTGATGGCCTCCAACCTACTAGCGATGGCCTCTAACCTAGAAGCACGATGGCCTCCAACCCACTAGTCACAACTCAAGGATTGAGATTATTCAAGATGTAGCGCCCCGTACCTGCAGGTGTCGCTCAATGAACTGCAATCCGAAGATGCTTTGGCGACTCTGCTGGGTAGAGTCAAGTGAAGTGAGCTATAGAATCTGACCTTTTTCCATCCGAGGGTCTGAATGGCCGAGTCGGCTTTTGTCAACCTTCTAGCTTGGCAGAGTGTATCGAAGACCGTTTTAGAGGGAACGATCAAATGATGATTGCTCTCATCCGGGCCTTCTTTTTGGCACCTGCTGGCTACATCTTCTCGTAATTCATTAGGCCTACACAGGGTCTTAAGATGATCTTAATTCATTGTCTTGCATTAGGCCTGCACAGTGTTTGCCTCACTTGCAGAACCCTGCGCTGGTGCAGCCTTGCCCTGACACTTCAAGGGCATGCTGTACAATCCAAAGGCGCAGCTTTTAATCATTTCTCCAATTTTCATGGCAAGACGTAACCCAGCATCCATTGAGAAGAAAGGATATGTTTTTGTGAAGTCGTTTGCAGTTTCCGTGCCTGCCTCTAGTCCAGACCTTCAGGATGCACCTTGGGCTGATGCTGTGGCCACCTTGACCAAGCCTTGAGCAATAGCATGTAGACTCAATGGCAGAAGGGCTAAGGTTGAAATTCCTGTGCACTGATAGGGATGCATGTCCTGGACCGTGCCATTCCATGCACGCTGATTTCGACCAGGAGCGAGACGCAGACTGGAGAGAATGTAAGGCTGGTTGCCAGATGTGTCACAGGCAATCATGCAACCACACGGAGAGATGTCGCATTTGCATGAGACGACGACAAAATTGGTCGACGCGAGCCCCAAACAAAGGACGCCGGCGACGCCACGCGGAGAAGACCCCTCAGACTACATTGGACTTGGACAGAGCGATCAGCTACAATGACTGGCGTGGGCAAGCAATGGATGAGGTTGACAAATTAAAGCTTGCTCTGCCGCTGGAGCCTTTGCAAGGTGTTTGGAGCCTAGCCCGCTTTTCATATACCTCCTGGGCCCAAAAACATGTCATGGCCCATGGTGTTGAAACGACTTGGGGCTGGCTCAAACAGCACGCCACGAAGAAAGGCCAACGCTCGGGCGCCTCTCTAGAAACTCAATGCGACGTCGAAGCAGCTCGCTACTTCTTGGTGGTTGGCAAAGAGGGGCCAGAACTCTTTGCCATTGCGCATGATTGCGTGTACTATCACATGTCTCCTGCGTGCGTGCAGAGCTTTCAGGATCTGCACCCTGAGCAACAGAAGGCCAGGGAATTGGGTAAGTGGTACACATACATGAGTTTTGTTCTCGCAGACCTAGATGTGCCACGGGTTGACCGATTTCCTGCTGCTTCACCTTCATCTCACGTGGTTGATGCGCTTGCTTCGAAATATGCAAATTTGATTTGTGCGAAAGCAAGAGACTTTGACCAGACCGGGGTTAGAGGGTGCAACGGAATGAGATACATCAGCGGTTTGAAGAGGCTTTGTGATGACTTCTTGAGGGAGTGCGGCCAGGAAGAGAGTGAAACAGTTCTTCTTCAGACATCTCCTCTTGCAGTAATAGAGATTCTTCTGCAGCAGTTTGCTTCGGCTAACACGCCCAGTGATGCGAGACAAGCAATTCTGCAAGTCCGTTCTGCTTGTGAACTGTTGATCCAGCACAGGGATCCGATTTTGGAGGATGACTGACAGTTCAAGAAGGAATTCGGCTGAACAGTGTCCGGCCTTTGTGTAGCAATTAACGCGGGCTAATATCCATGTCTGCCTAGGTGGAGACAGGGGCACTTTTGCCCACAACTTCACTTGAGTGGTGACACCGCCAGCCAAAGGAACCCAAGGCACCCTGAAAACCCAAGGGCCTCCTGACGGTTTCTGTAACCTGCCCTGAAATTCAAGGGCATGCCATTTGGCATCTCAATGGCTTCAATGAAAGCCTGGTTGAGCGAGTGTTCACCCATTGTTTTCACATGGATAGCTTTTGCAGTGCATCAAAGACATGTCGTACTTCATGTTTTCTTTGCGGGCAAGCTGTTTGGGGTTGGATGTGGCTTCTTTAACCTCGGACTTGTGACATTTAACATGATTGCAACAGGTCAAGTCAATATTTTTCTTCCTGAGAGATGTCGCCTTTACGTGCTCGTGGCAACCGCTTGTGCCTGCGTAAGGCTTTTGAATGCCTGTGAAGCATGGCAAAATGTGCACCGACATCGACACAATAAGGCCACACATATCCAGAGAGAGAGAGAGAGGGACAACACAATTTTGATGAGTTGAGTGTTTTCAGAGTGAGCCTCATTGTACCGGAGGTCCATGAGGATTTTCAGGTTTGGATGACGTGTTGACGCTTCAACACTTTTCAAATCAACCAGCAACGCACATTCAATGCTCTGGCGACGGCGAGCTCCAGAGCTCGCAGCGCCGTTTGATGCGAGCTCCGTGCATCACCGAAAACATGATTTGTGATCGGAACATCTAAGTGAAAGAGGACGCTACTAGGACGCTACTAGGACGCTACTAGGACGCAATCCGGGCATCGCAGGATTCCACCGACCGGTGCGGTTGCCCGCGGTGGCCGTCCCGCGGAGTGGGTCCGGGCGGGGCCGGTGGCCAAATGGGACGATCTCGCCAGCGGCAGCGGTGGCTACGAGGGAGCGCGTGTCTGGTGGCGCTTCTTTGGGTTGAAGCCTCAGTGGAGTTGAAGTTTGTCGTAGAAATGCTGCAGCGAAGAATTTTTGTGTTGTTTGGCATTTCGCTGAGTTGCTAACCGTTGCTGACTGTCAGGTTTTTGTTCATAAAGCAAAGTGCAGAGCAGCTGTTGACCAAAAAGGGATGGCATTTGTGCTCGCAGAGTGCAAGTCATGCGGGGGGGCATCACAGTGAATGATTTGAGGTTGGTTCTCCCTGTTGGCTTCGATGCAGAGTGAGGACACGCCGAGATATATTGGTTAATTTATGTTAATTTTAGTCCTTCCGAAGACGCTAAACACAAGCTAGAGTGCAGATGGCACACAAGCACACGCACACTCAAACATTTTATGCCTGGCGTTTTGGCATGTTTTGGGTTGCAAAAACTTCAAACTTCAGGATGTCTGCTGTGAACGCCAGGTGCGATTTTTGGGTGGATTCGGAGTGGCACAATTGCGGAAGAAGGGCTGCGCCCATTTGCTGTAGGTTTCTGGGAGCTTGAGTATGGCTTGATTTTTTTTTTGCTGGTGATGTAGAATTATTTTCGAACCAAGCATCGACTGCATTGGGCC